CTTCTATCCATTGTAGTCAAATTTTACTTTTTGCTGTTGAGAATTCTCTTAATTGAATCATCTGGTGAAAACTCTTATGAGCCTGAATTGCAGCGAACCTATGGAGGAGGGAAGTAATAGGACAGTCTGAGTATCACTATGTAAGGCTACTGCTTGCTGTACCTGTTCCAGTGGTGTAACCGCACTTCTCCCAGCACAGCCATACTGTGTCTATGTGGAGGACACCCACTTTCTGTTCTAAACACAGCACTCTGAGATTACTTGTTTTACCAAACCCTTGTTTTTTTCTGGCATCTTCTATATCTATCACAACCTTTTTGGCCAGGCTAAATCTATCTTTTGAGCGGCTGACTTGAGGAGGAAGCTCCCTATCCTGACTTCTCCCCACTTCAACTCCAGCACAGCTGCACGAAGGCAAGTTTCACCGAGTGCTCAGCATTGCCAGGATTTCACTGGGACTCCTCTGTTTTGTATATTGTGTTTGGAAATGAAGATGCTTGCTTTCTGAAACGGACCCAGCTGAGCTGGTTACATTTATAATTAAGAGCAAGTGGTGTCAGAAAATATTCAGGGAATTAAAACATTTCTCTCAAACTACACGGGCCACCTCACCAGAAAAGAACTGGCTGTTGTTTTGTGTGTGCACACGCATGCGTGTATGTGTTTTAATGAGGATATGGGTCATTGTTAATATCCAGATTCAGGAGATCTTGGGGGAAGGAGAGGAGAGAGAGAATCCAATCATAATACCTCAAGCTCTGAAACAAAAAATATTCTTGGTTGCATTTGTTATTTTTTCTCATTTAGTTGCAGCTGGATCACCAGGATGTTTGTCTAGGAGGGTCTGGTCAGTGTTGGCAAAGGAAAGTTTCTTATTTCCCAAACGTGCTTATCATTTTGGCCTTGACAGCGATGGGAAACTGAGTTGTGATGGGAACTTTCAGCACGCTTTTTTATTTAGAGGCAAACATGAGAAAATTTGCCTAGCAGTGCATGTAGCATTGTGCTGATTTCCTGTGTGGGCAATCATATAAGACAGATAAGCTTACAAAAAATGCTGCTATTGCAGGCTTTAGGTTTTTGGGGAAGGAGGAAAAAGGAATTAATGTCTAAATGATGTACTGAGCTAAGCCTGCAGTTCAAGCCTCATGTCTGAATAAACAGGAAAATAGCATGTGTAAGATGAGCACCCAGTACAATCTTATTGTGAATGCTTTCACACGTGTAAGAGGCAAGGCTGTTTGTGGGTAATATCTCTTACTGAACCAACCATATAGTTGGGAAGGATTTTACATACATTTTTTTTTGTGGACCATCACAGCTACATCATTTTAACCACAGGTGCTGAGTATATGGGGGCCTGAGGGCCCTGGTCCCTCTTGGGTAGAGGACTATCACCAGAAAGGTGTAAAACCTTCTCCATGTCTATCCTGTTAGGTGCTTTCCTCCAACCTGGCAAAAATAAAAGTTGTCGCCTATTATTCTAACACTACCTTTACCTGTGTGAACAGGGTTTTTTTTTATTCTGTCCTGGGTAAACATATAATATTTCTGTCTGTTGGGATGAAAATGCTGCTTTGTGATGGAGCTTCTGTGTTAGGAAAACAAAATAATTGTGGAAAGAATGTAAATAAAGGGAGGAGAAGGAGATGATGTGTGGCTTTCAAGTTCTCTTTATGTAAACTGGGTTAAGTTGAAGGAGAAGAAAAAAGAACATAATATTTTAAGAGAGGGCTTGTCAACATACAGCATACGGGCCAGATCCCACCCATGGAGCCACTGGATCTGGTCTGGAGAGCCAGAAGGCTGTGCCCATGCCCAGGCTGCACCTGCACCCCTTCTGTCCTCCTCCAGGGATTTTGGGGGGCTGGGAAAAAGTGGCAGCAGTGCAGATGCAGCTGGAAGTTGCCCAGCCCTGGTGAAGAGGCTTGGCAGTGGCACAGGCACAGCTGCCAACTGCTTGGTCCCAGTGTGAGCACAGCAAAAGCTCCTTCCTGCTGACCTGCCCACTGGTGTGTTGGATCGGAGCTGAGTTGTTCTGGCCCGTTGCTTGCAAAGGTTGTCAGCCACTATTTTAAGACTTTTTGTATTCATTTTCATGGTACAGGCCACAGCCCCTCTTGGGGCCCGACTGGAGCTGGTGGCTCAGCCCCACGCCAAGGAATGAGCACAAAGCCTCCCCCCCCCCCCCTCCCCCCCCACACTTTGTGG